TTCTATTCACACATTGTAACTATGTCTGGTTCAAAACTTTAAAAGCTTTCTTTTCTCCCATTTTAAAGCGCCCAACTGAACCGAAATTTTCTGTACACAACTGTTTCGGATGGAAATACGATAATTTAGTTGTAATTAACAAAAATTAATTGATTAAAACCAATTATTTAAAGAATTGCCACCCAAACACATACATTCAGTATAGTGATTAAAGACACTGACTGCTGTGTCGTAGGGCCTGGGTTCGAATGCCGAAGAATGCTTGTATGTTTGAAATGTATAGTGCCTTTGTGGCATAAGAGTTCTATAAATAGCCATCAAGACGAAACTCTTCTCGAGAGGTTGAGGGAAAGGGAAGAGAAGAGGGACACCTCCTGACTTTTCAAAGTGTGTTCTCCTTCAAAATTGGGGAGTAACCGTGCCATACTGTCGCTTGAATGGTGCTCAAAGCTATGGCTAATGACAGGCGTACATCTAGCCCTTTGCCACGATGAATTTCGTGGGCCTCGAACTGATACCGTTGAATAGGTGGCATTAACAACAACACAGAGAATTAAATTTTATTCATGACTCCAATTGCTTACAACGTGAATGAGTGAGTGAGTGAATATTAACGTCGCACTGTTCAGCTATCCGAGGGCTTTTGGCGATGGGCCTCTTAATTTTGAACCATGGTCAAGTGAAGAGGACGACACCTGAGCTAGCACCCCTTCTCCCAACTACCACACGACACCGACGGGAGGACGTTTGAGCTCTCGACAGATTTAACGTGCATCGCTCCCTTACTCATCGGATCTTTTGTGGTACTGGTGTCGAACTCGTGACAAGCCAGCCACGATCCAATACCTTGACCACTAAGCTACCGTGGCCACACTTACAACGTGAAACAGTTGAATATTTAAACCATCTAATTAAACTACCCCTTCGTAAAATTTTACTATTCAAACTAATTATTAAATGCATTCAATATGACTCAACGTTCAATTTTGGTCTTAAAATTTAAGGTTTAAAAAATCGCCCAACCGGTATCGTGGTTAGCGACTCTGACTGCGGTGCCGCGGGGACTGGGTTCGAATCCCGGAGGAGACATGAATGTTTGTAAATGTATAGTGCCTTTGCGGCATGGGGGTACTCTAAATAGCCGTCGAGCCGCAAGTCCTCTCGTGTGGTTGGGGGAAGGGGTAGAGAGGTGGGAGGCCCCTGACCACCCCCAGGTGTCCTCCCTCAAAATTGGGGTGGAAACGAGTCAAATCGTACTGTCACCTGAATGGTGCTCAAAGCTAAGGCTAACAACAGGTGTCACTTAGTCCTTTATCATGATGAATTTCGTGGGCCTATATCTGGCCTTTGCCGATCAGGTAGCATCAGTAACAACCACAACAACAAGGTTTAAAAAAAATATGTTACGTGAAGTTTGAAAGAAAACCCAAGTTTAAAAAACTCGTTTTTTACCGCTGCTATTATTTCTACTATTTTTAAAAATATTTCCATCTATCTTTTAATCATTTTACCAATCTTTTAAAAAGCATACTTAAAAGGATTTCTAAAGTTGATAGAGAAACTGCAATCAAATAAATCCTTACTCATGTTCTTTCTCTTTCAAATCCATGTATTACGAATGCATTTGAATGAATATAACAATCCGGATAACATAGTTAGAAATTCTAGAGGATTAACGTCGTCCGTTAACGAATTCAAGATGTCTGTGTGGGACGAGGACCTACTTATCTTCAAGAAAGGTTTCGTTTCTTTCGAGAACTAATGAATGAGTTATAAGCTGTAGTAAATGATAAATGCAGTGTAAGCTCGAAAGTATCCGAACAGTTTCAAGGAGGATAGTAATTTCTCGATAATACTTTAAAAAATCTTTTCTTTGACTTCTGTTACTTGAAACTGTTGTGCTAAGAGCAAGTAAGTTCTCGTTTTTCAATTCCTACTATTAGTTCACTTTTATATATATATATATTGTTACGAATTTTGTGTAAAATGATGTAAATAATTTGTATTTGGATGTGTAAAGCATTTATATTACTCTATATGTTATATTTAATTTATGTTAAAATTGTAATATTTGCAAGCAACGCCGTCCCTTACGTTATAATGGAGATTCAATCGGAACTTGGCGAAATCTTGGCGATAGAGCCAAGTTGGCATTATTTCTGGCGACCAAGTTAACAATCATTTTTGTGACCCTCTAGATCAGCGACCCACCGAGCCTTTTTAAGGGGCCCGGCTATGATCCATTGCTATGAGAAATTTACTTATTTAAGAGCATTGTATTTAAAATTTGGTGGGAAATTCTTTGTCAAGAAATCAAATATATCACTTTGCTTTTTGCTGTCGGTGTCATACGAGCTCGAATTGATATTCTTTTTCTATTTGGAACGGTTACGGTTAGTGATAACAGGCAACAGTGTAGTAGCGACAATTTTATGGGAGGAACTCTCTAGTAATCTTTAACTATCTTTAATATCTTGCAAGCGAAAAACATTCGAAGAAAATATATCGTTTCAAGACGATTGGGAGGTTGACTATTTTGTAGTAAAAAACAAACATGGATCAAAAATCGTTTGATTTGTCACGAAAGTGCTGTAAGTAAAAAATATCAATAAACAGGATCATTTAATAACAGTTCTCCTCGAATATCTCTTTCAAGAGGTGATAAATAGGCTTTCTTGAATAATCTTTGCAACAGCAACAAAGTGTTTTGTCAGTGGTAATATCACAGCGGTAACAAAGACATCTTGTGAAAATTGTTACATTATTGGTAATCATACGAAACCGTTTACTGATGCAGAAATTGTGAAGGAGTGTTTCTTAAGGTATTCGACTACGTTCGGAACCGTGATTTTCAAAAAAGCGCATAAATGGATCATTTTTATGATATTTAGTGTCACTTATTTTAAAATACATGTATAAAATTGTTTTAAGGACATTTTGACAAAAAAAAATTATTTAAATACAATATTTCGGCAAAAAATTAACTTAAAATAACCTTTTTCCATAATGTTCTCCTTTTATAAAAAATGCTTCTATTATAATAATGTTTTGCTTGTATGTAGCTCAGACCTCTGTACAGAGACTCAACTACGAGTTTTGAAATATTCGCATTATTTTCAGAGTTACAACCCACTGAAATAATTATCGGCGTTTTTTTTCTTAAAATTTCTCCCCTCTGTTGTCTTAAAACATGGATAAACCCACTTCTAAGTTATATATTTCAAAAATTCTCTAGTTCAGCCTCTGTACAGAGGTCTGAGCCTATAGACAGGCAAAATATTATTATAATAGAAGCATTTGTCGTAAAAGAAGAATATTTTGAAAATGGGTCATTCTATGTTCATTTTTTTATCAAAATATTGTACTTAAATAATTTTTTATTGTAATACTATTCTTAAAACAATTTTATATACATTTTCTAATCTAAGTCACACTAAATATTATCCATTTATACGCTTTTCCAAAATCACGGTTCCGAACGTAGTCGGATACCTTAAATTTAATGGTGATTATATTTGCCATAAAAAAGATGAGAAGCAAGTCTCAATACACAAGTGGAAAACACATGTGGCGGGTCCTCTCTTTTGCCTCTCTGCTACATTTCCGTAGTTGAAAACCATCTTTGTCAGCTTGTATGAGTGTGCTGAATCGTTTACAAAGAAAAGCTAAGGTAGACATGCCATTACGCCGTTTTCGAAGACAATATGAGCAGCTGTCGCTGTTTGAGAGGTGGAGAATCATCGGCAGGATGGAAGCTGGGTGGTCAGCTAGGCGAGTAGCTCGTCAATTAGGCCGCTCTGATTGTGTTGTTGGGACCAGTGAATCCGAGAGATGTCATTTGCACGAAGACCAGGCTCAGGACGCCCTGGACAGGCCAGTCGTCGAGAAGACCGCCACATCGAAAGAAATGCACGCGTACAGCCAACTGCTTCATCCGCCGCCATCCAGGCACAGGT